AATTTTTTGAACATAAAATAATTTTTTTTAACCACTTTTCTCTGGATTACAGATTGGCACAGGTTCAATTTGGTAAAGTACAATGTTGTTACATGTCTTTGGAGCATATTTCATTTTGTTATCAGATGGCGGTCGTAATTTGCAGTGGGCTCTCTTACTATTACCAATTAAGCATTCCAACGATCTGTCAAACAATAGCTGTCAGTGAGAAGGTCTGGTATATCTAAGGGGTAGAGACATAGTCTTGTATCTTGAACGTGTTTTTTTATTTGAAATAATAGTCACAAAGCCTGTCAATTTATGAAAAAATGTATCTTATTTTTATTGTGTTTGACATAAAATATATAAATGTAATCCATTATTCGTGATTTTACGTATTGTAAACAGAATATATCGTATGTCGCAACCCTTGGATATATCAAATCTTCCCACTGGCAGTTCATTTGTTTGGAATCAACAGCAGTCTTCTGCGCATCCTGAATTTGTATCCCTGGAGTGGATGTTATTTTGGAACATCCAATTAGTCCGAGTGAGCGAACTGATTCTTTTAAGCTATAAACTGTGCCTTTACCATATCCTGGGTACGCCACTGGCCATTTTACGTTCACTCTAGTCTTATATTCATTTTGAGTGAATACATTATTATAGATTTTGACAGATTTAAATCCATGAACTGGAACAAACTAGGTTCTATTCCTCATATATGATTAAAAATAGTAGTTTGAGCAAAAAGTGCTTCTCACATTATTTTCTACCATCACACATTGTGTGGTAATTGATAACAAATGGTAAAATTATAATAAATTTGTATAGTTATTCTATAATTTTAATAAACTTTCTTTAATAGTATTATAGTAATTATATTGTAGCCTTTTCTATGATATCTGGAGGTATATTTTCCATGTTTCGTGCACAAAGTAGTTACGTATTGTGAGAAATTTCCAACTTTGCCAGCGGTAATTGATGCGGAAACGCGTGTTTTGAATAGTGGTCGTAGAAAAACAATTTAGGTAGAAATCGGACAACCCTAATTTAGGTACTTATCTTATGGAGTAATATATAATGACGGAGTCTTTCCAAAGTCAAAAGCCTTACAGAAATGGGTACCTATCAAGTTGACTGTGTCATCTATCAAATTTTTAACCTATTCCTAGAAAAACCATGTTATTATACCATACTATAATGCTTGACGTGTGGATTTTCTTGAAAAGCAAGATTGGCGAAATTAACCATATAATTATGGTTGGCGGATAATTTCAAATCCATGTTTTCCGACCTTTTTGTACACAGCTGATTTTCGACCCCTTCTAATAAAAAAATCTATAAATATAAATGGGTGATAAAAGTGACCAACAATCTTCAATAGCCTGGAGAATTATATGAATCATTTTGTTTTCCGTTTTACTTGAACAATGACATTCATCCAAGTCAGGCCAAAACATTATATCGTCTTCAGTATAATTGTCTTAAACAAATTCAGCCAGTTTCTTTAGGCATGATTAACATATGACCTCGCTAAACTTTTTAAAGATATACCAAGATTTTTTCTGTAATATTTGTTTTTTTTTATTTATATACATTGTTTGGATATTCTTTTATGTTATCTATATAAAATCCATAGTTATCTTTGATTTAGGAGTTGTTCAAAGTAAAATCACAGCTTATACAATACAGCTCCACAACTCCGTGTCGGCGTCTTTGATCTGGCGGTCGAGAACCAAGCAAGACGGAATGGTCCTATCTCTGTTAGATTAAAGGGAAAAGTCGGGCCCGGATTAAGCAATTTTTTTATTATTGAAAAAATTGAAAACCTTGACGTAATAAGGTTGGTTACATGCCATGTTAAGTAAGTTTTGGGAAATTAAATTTTTAATTTGTTTTAAATCTGTCAAATATAATTAAAAAAATTATTTAAATATAAATATTACGAAAAATAGCACATCTTTCGGATTAGAGGTAAAATAATTTGTATGTGGCTAGTAAAATCCTCGTTAACAAATGTTTTGAGCTAAAACAGTCACTTCACGACAAATTGTGACTTGGATCCTTTTTATACCAAGGGCTTCAATTGTTAAAGAAATGTGTCACGCTCGTGGATGCAAATCAAGTGGTACCCCGTGTCTCTGGCAAGTGTTACTCTTCGCGCAAAGGGTTTATACCTAGATAAACGAATGCTTCGACTGAGGTCTGGGAACTCTATGGTATTTTGGAATTATAAAGAATTTGTGCTTTTATTTTAACAATATTGGTTATATTTAGATGTATTCTTATTAATTGAAATACAGATTTGTAGAAGTAATACTTTAACAGTTTTTATTAATATAATATATTCAATTTTTATCTGACCATACCGAAGTAGGGAATTTTGAAACTTTATAGTAATGTGAAATTTGAATTACAATATTACACGATATTACATAATTAGTACTTATTTTAGGTAGGTACTAAATTTGTACTTGGAGAAAGTAATATCGATTTTTACAAGAAAATTTGAAAAGTAAATTAATTTAGTTCTTATTTCTGATGTAAAACTTAAACCGAGAAAACAAATAAATTGTAGTTTGTTCAACAAGGGTGGATATGATAGCCATATCACACAAAGACGAAGTTTGAGCACGACGTCGTAGGCGGAGTACTCAATCGTCTGATTGTGATATGAACAATCCACTCGATATGGTCAGTATATTTTTTCTACGACCCACTAACGAAAATCTACAAATTTAAAAAATTATTTTAGGTTATTTAGACAAAATAACTAATTTTAAAATAATTTACGAAGTTGACTAATTTATAAAATAAAATAAACATGAAAAATTAATTAGTCCTCGGCCTAGATTCGATCCCGGGCTTTTCGCATGGAAGGCAGATGTTCTGTCCTCATCTTCACCGAAACTTTCAGGACTTTAGTTTTAATACTCGTAATTAAATTAGTATCATGTAGTTTGATTAAAATTTATTTTTTTTTTAAATGTGGACATAATAAAAACAAAAATGCTATTATTTATCGAGTCTACACAAAAATTTTAATGTATATTTAATATCAATAACTAAAATATATATTGACAATTAGTTTAACAGAATTATCACTTATTTAAAAATTTTTAAATAATAGGAGTTGGGTGACCAAAATATGAACTGTGATTTGTAGATTTAATTTTGTTAAAGTGTTCTCACTACCTAAAATGGATATGAAATATATTCGTAGTTGAACGCAATAACATAATTTTTCGTTTTGTAGTATGTGCGTAGATTGGCTAATATCCATGCACAGATTACAAAACGAAAAAGTATGCTATTGCCTTCAATTGAACGAATATATTTCATATCCATTCTAGGTAGTGAGAACACTGCAAAAAAAAATAAATTCGCCAATCACCGTTCATATTTTGATCAACCGACTGCTATTATTTTTAAAATTTTAAATAAATGACAATTCTGTCAAACTAATTGTCAGTATATTTTTTAGTTATTGAGATTAAACATACAATAAAATAAGTTATTCTTTTGGAAAACGTTAGCATGTATGACTAAAGGGTATTGGGTTAATTAATTCTAAAAGTGTGGTACAAATGTTATTTTTTGTAGCCAATTCTTCAAAATTATTTTAAAATATCTTTTCAATATTGAATATTAGTTCTACAAATTCATCATTTGACAGTTGCAGATTTCCAAATGTATCTGAATTGGCGTTATCATATGCCTTTTAAAAGCAATAAAAAGAAAAATCGTCTAATTCAACGTGATCTTTGTTATATTTAAGACAGGTATCGCAGGAGTGGATCCGCAAGGCTTTTATTAAAAGGTAACCACACACATACCTGATAAAATTTTTCTGTAGCAATTCGTCTTTACAATAATTTAGGGTGTTAATAATTTCATCATAAAATAAAATACAAGGTGTTCCATTTAAAAAACATACATTTTAATTTTCCAGGCAAAAACGTGACACCCTGTATATCCAAAGATATTTTTAAAATATGTAGGTATTTTTCAAATCCATATAACTTTTATTTAAAACTTTCTTGCGTGTCTACAACAAAATAATGAACAATAACGCACTAATGAGACACCCTGTATAAATTATATTTTTAACAATGAAAATTTCTTATAATGTAGTACTTATCGGTTTGGGTCCTTGGGAAAACTAAAGAATGTTTTCTTGCAGGTATAACCCTTATTAAAACAGCTTTTGACTGCACAAACTCATTCTACTCACAGCTAAAGAGTCACCAAAATAATAACAGTACCTTTAACTCAAACAAAATCAACGAAATTATAGGCTCCACGAAATTATACAATCAACGAAATTATACGCACGACTCAACACCTTGCCTAAGTACGCTTCTGAACGCCAAAACCGTCTTTTCCCTTCGAAGGCGGAACTTAAGCGATGCGCGACGAAATCGACGCAAACCGTTGCCGCCAAGAGAGTGTTTTAGCTGTATTGTATAAGCTGTGGTAAAATATTCCTCATCATCAATTATGATAAACTTATTTGCGTATGTGTATGAAGTAGATTTCGACAACAACCTGGTATTTTGGCCAGTTGATTAGAGGAAGTACTGCGGACATTTTTATCTTTTAAGTGGTTGATCATTTGTTTTCAAAATTCAACCCTCTTTTTCGCTCTCCTCGCAATTTTTTAGCACTGTTGGGGGTTAAAGTGATGTGGTTTTCAATTTCTTGGGAGGTTGTGACCTGGAATATATGGTTCGACATATAGACTCACTATTATATCGTGGGCTCAAAAATTTTGAACTAAGCATTTGCCCAACCATTTTATAAATTATTTTTCGAATTTTCAATTTATACACATTGAATAAAACAAATCTAAATCTATAAATGTCAAATTGAAGCTTCTAGTACAAACACAGTTTTGTTTCCAAAGCCAGCTTGTTAAAACATAGGCACCACAAAACGACACCTAAAACTTTTTATCGCAAAACTTATGAACCAAACATTAGTAGAATAATTTATTTATAAAACTTATTTATTTCCAGGTGTGGTTTCAAAATAAACGATCGAAAGAAAGACGTCTCAAACAATTGACATCAATGGGTCGAGGGCCATTTTTTGGAGGATCGAGAAAAATGCGTGGCTTCCCCATGAATCTATCGCCCGGTGGGCTTGAAGATGGTCCTCCAGGTTTCCCTTACTTCGCCGATGGCAAATTTGAATTCGGGTATGGTGGACCACCTTTCCATCCGCACGATGGTCCCTTTTTTGCTGGACACCATCCTGGAAGCGGGCCCGGTGGCCCGGGCATGCCATTTGGCCAAGGCGGTAAGATAATTTTACAAAATTTAAATATTTTTAGGTAGGTACTGCTATTATTATTCAAATAACTCTATAAATGTTGGCACTATATATTAAAAGAATACTTTTGTTGCTATTGAAAATTAAATCTACTAGTTCGCAGGCCGAATGAAAATATTTAACAAGATATTGAGTGTATCTTCTCATGCGATTAATAAGAACATCGATTTTAAGAGTTGTATTAATTAGATTATACTTCATATCTGCGGAAACAAAATAAAACGGGACATTTTCTATTTAAAATTGAAATATTAATTTGACATACAAGCATATGTAGCAGCAAAGCGATTTACACATTCTGAATTATACAGGGTGTTTCAAAGTGAAATATATACACTATATACGTTAACTGTAGATATCGGATGAAATTACCCATTATTAATAGGTATAGCGTATCTTATTACCTAGATTTAGGATATTTAAATGGATTCTTATATGAATTTTTATTTGGCCAAAACTCAACAAGTACTCGGCATTAAAATTTCAAAGTTGGCATATAGATTATCTTCGATACAGTAAAAATAATGACAATTAAAATACAGTCAATTTCTTTCTGCCTCAGAAACAAAATTTTGCATATCTGAAAAGGAATTTCAAAAGAACAGAAAAAAATCGTTTTAGATTGTTTTTTTTTTATTTTCCAAATTTAGAAATAATTTCTTTATGGCAAAATACAAAAAATATTAATTTCTTTATAGGTAAGTACCTACTTTTAAAATTTCTCAATTGTAAAACTGTATCATCATTTCCTGCAGTAATTGTTTCATATTGGAAAATAAAAACTAAGTAGTTATGATTGGCCAGTTCTGAACCGGAGATAATGAGACGTAATTAGTAATTATCCTAAGTACCCACCCCCACCCTTCGCGTAATTAGCAAGTTACTGTGTACATCATGTAATGACGTGTAATTGCATGGTGTAATGAGTGTAATTGCATAGTGTAATGAGTGTAATTACTTTATACACATAGAGATGTAGGTACCTCGAATATTTACTATGCATATCATATATATGTAATGAGTTTGGTCTAAGTACATCTTAGTGAATATTATTTTAGCATAGGGGAAATACGTTGGGGCATACCTAAACACATCCTTGACTCTCAACCGTCATAGCTATAGTGAAGCGCTAGTCTTCAGCAGACATACGAGAGTAAACATTGGTGGAAGGAGTAGTTGTGATTAGCCAGTTCTGGACCAAGGTCAGAGGCAATTGATGCAATTAGTAATTACCCTAAGTACCCACCCTCCACCCTTCGCGCAATTGGCAAGTACCTTCCAATTACTCGGAACATCATGTAGTGAGTGAAATTGCATAGTAAGTACTTTTCAATTACCCTATACACCATGTGTAATGAGTATCGTAAGTACCTCTCATTACTCCATACACATGGAAATGTAATGAGTGTAGGTACCTTGAATATTTAGTAATTGCTGTGCATGTCATGAAGTGTGATGAGTTTAATCTAAGTACCTCTCAGTTATTACTATTGTAGCGTACAGAGCGTTTTGTACCCTAAGTACATTCTAAATAATAGACACTATTGTTTTTCATAAATGGAGGATGATGTCCGCACATCCTTGACTCTCAACCACCATGATTAGAGTGAGGAACCGGCCGGGCGCAAGCATACACGGCATGAATATCGAGGCAGGAGTTTAGAAAAAGTAGAAGTACTTCCTAATTATTCTGTACCCACTGTACTAAAATAAATCTAATTGCATAGTAAGTGTAGGTACCTTGTATATAGGATTTTGGACACCACCTTTTTAAATAGAAAACGTGTAGTTCACTCTGGACAGTAGAGTGCTGGTGTGGACATTTAAGTAACGATAAGACAAATATTGCTAATAATTTAAATAGGAGAAAGTCAATTGTAATAGGGTAAAGTCAACATTGGACAATGGAAATAAAAAATATTTTGTTTTAAAATTCTATTTTTAAAGTAACAGTATTTACAGTAACTCAATAAGTTTCAAAATTGTCTCTCTTTGGAGCTCAGCTTTTTTATTTAGGCCCATTTTCAGTAAACTTGTAATAGTTTCTTTTTCTTAATTTGTTTCTGTTTGTAATTATTCCTAATTTCCATTACTCGTTCTCTTTTGTAAAATTGTCTTCGTTTCTCGTTAGCTTCTTCCCTCCGCCTTATTCCTTCGGCACCTCTTTCACATCTAAATGTGGATTTATCATGAAGTTCTTTTTCCGATGTATATTTTTCTAAGTCTTTAACACCTTCAGATGCTAATTCTGAAATTTGTGCGTACTAAGCAACTGTTTTCCTCGGGAATGTAACCATTCTTGTTTGAATAGTCTTCTATCGTTATAAGAATGAGGTGTACTAAGACCATCACCATCCCTTCTAAGCGGCCTTTGTCCATCAGCATAGGTGATCTGAGGACACCAACAGCATGGTCAAAGCAAATTATTTTCTTAAAAGTTGTTTTTGAATGGAGTTGTGTACCAGTGCGCTGTAGTTTTTTCTTGTAGGTTAACATTGTAAATCCGTAAATAAAATGTATTAAAGCGTGAAGATGTTCATGTGCTGTACTAGCATCGTCTGCTATTAGACGACATCGACAAATAGAATACCATTTAATATTTGGAGCACAAGCAAATAAAGTTCTTTTCATTTAATATTAAGTGATACCATTCATTAGACCATTCTTCGTAATCTTGTGCCATTTCCTGTGGCGACAAAGCGTTAATTTCATTTAGATTCAAGAGAGTCAAATAATTAGTTTTTGACAATGAAGACATTTTTTGTTATTTTTAGAAAAGCTACTCGTAGAAAATGTCTCAGTAGACTGGAAAAGTCTTTAATGTCTCAATACTTTAAACAAATAATTAATTACCCCCACCACCAAGATTTTTGCGCAGGCGCAGTAGTACAAACGTTCTTAATGTAATCGTCGTTGCGATTTGCGTTCACGTGAACTCCCACATTTTCCAATTTCTTTGCTTTATATTCACACTCTGTATAATAAGAAGGGAATGAAAAAAAATTCAACGCCACTGACGCAAACAGCAAGAATGGCGCTTTGCACCTCTGGCTGAAAATTAAATGGTGAGAAAGAAATGTCGAAGTTACAGTTAGTCAAACTTAGGCAATTTTTTGTCTGTTCCACTTCATCTGCGGCGTAATTTATTTGGTATACCAAGGACAATCTATTTGCCAAACTTTAAATTCCTATATCGATTGTTGAGTTTTGGCGAATTAAAAACTTAAATCCACTCAACCGAGTACCAAATACAAACATTTCATATAATACAAATATACATTGTTATTTAGATTTAAATTATTTAATATACATTTTATATAGACACATGCAATAAGAACATTAACAATACATAAACACAAACTTTAAAACAAAAGAAATTTTTTCAGTAATTTTTTAAAGATTACTTCTACAGAAGAAATTATTGACAAAAATATAAAATATTAGAAGTCTGTGATAGAATTGATTTGTCGGGAATGTTTTATTATTATAAACCTGTCCCCATCATCTTTCCTAGCATACACACTCCCATTCTTATGATTCTTTTAAGTACCCACCAATTTTTTCATTTAAATATATATTAAATTTTCTTTTTCAGGTGGACCAATGGACCACGGCGGACCAATTCCAATGGGTGCTGGAGATTTCGGCGGAATACCCAACGAACAGGGCCAGTTTATACCTCAACAAGGCCCTGGACCAGATATGATGCAGGGTAATAGTGGAGGAGGCAGGGGAGGAAGTCCGGAATTTATGTCGCCCGGTAACTTTTCCGATAACCCTCAACAACTAAATGAAGGGCTAGTCTGGTAGCTGGCAAAAGCTCTGGCCAAGAGAGCCAGAGAATAATAATAGCTTTTTTGTAAATAGTTATTTCTTAAGTGTACATTATTAAAATTTAATTTAAATGGATTATATTTTTTGCTAAAAAATTAAATGGCTATTTTGCTTAGGATACTTCAAGAAACTAATTAAAATCGCTTGTTGCAGATCGTTCAATATTAAAATAAATATTTTTAAATCGACATTAAATGCAAAAACGGATGAAATGCACCTAACTAGGTAAAACAAAGTAGCCACTTAAAATATGCAAAATAATATATTTTATTTATTTTTATTCCCTCCATGTTATTTCTATGTTTCTGAACGCTGAACGTCCTACAAATTATTTCTATATTTAAAAAAATTACATTTTAAAATATTGATGTGAGATTCGTCTTGCCATAATTTGGTTTTGAATTAATTTTTTTACTTCTTTACAGGCCAACTCATTTTTCCTCACAAACTACCTTTTAATTTTTCAATAAATTTTAAACATTCCTATTTTAAAAGTTCCTATTTTAAAAATTTCTCATATCAATAATTTAAAATAATATTGAGACAATATTTTTAATTTTGTATTAGCTAATCAAATATTTTGCATTTGATCAAATAAAAATTACATTTGCTTTCAAATGACCATCTACATTTTGCCTCTTAAAAAACTTATTCTCAGGACTAATTTTGTAATTTAACAATTATTGTGACCGTATATAAAATGGTGACGACCCTGACTTTTATACTCTTTACCAGAGGCGGCTCTGGCCAAAATTTTGGGGGTTCACAGTAGCTGAATATAGATTTCGGTACAGATGTAGGTAAAAAACTGTCAGTGTTTTAGAAAGGTATATTGTAAACTTTTTAAAACACTGAAAGTTTTTTTTCATAAATCTGTACTAATATCTATATTCTGTCACTGTGAACCCCCAAAATTTTGGTCACGAGGCGCTACTGCTCTTTACACAGTAGTATGTGAAGAGTATTATGGGTTTACTTTGTCAATCCGACTGATGTCACGTTTTTGGTCCGAACGATAAGTCAAAAACGTTAAGATTAAAAAGGAAAAACCATAAATCAAAAAGGAAAAGCGATATCAACATGAAATTTTTGAGAAGATGAAGCCTATTGATTTTGAAAAAATCTAAATAAATTGGGGATTAAAATTTAAAAAAAAAATCCTAACTCAAAAACGAAAAATGATATCAACTTCAAAAATTTATCAAAAATCAAGCTTTATAAGGGGAAGAAGTCCTTTGATTTTAAAAAAAAATCTGATTACAAATAGGGGGATTTAAGTGGTTTTAAGAGGGGTTGAAATAAAAAAAAAATCATATATCAAAAACTAAAAGTGATATCAACTTCAAATGTTTAGCAAAAATCAAGCTTTATAAGGGGAAGAAGTCCTTTGATTTGAAAAAAAATTGATAAAAAATAGGGGGGTTTAAGGGAGATTGAAATAAAAAAATTATATATCAAAAACGAAAAGCGATATAATCATGAATTTTTAGTAAAAATCAAGCTCTATAAGGAAATGAAATCTATTGATCCAGAAAAAAATTTAAATAAAAATGGGGGACTTAAGGGGGTTGATATCTTTAAAATATTCCTAACTCAAAAACGAAGAATAATATGAACTAAGGATTTTAAAAAATATCTGATTAAAAATGGGGGGTTAAAGGGGATTGAAATTAAAAAAAAAAAAAAATCATAAATTAAAAACAAAAAGCGACATCAACATGAAATTTTTAGTAAAATCCAGCTCTATAAGGAGATGAAGCTTAAAATGGTGGGTTAAGAGGGGGATGAAATATTTTTAAAAAATCCCAACTCAAAAAGGAACAATAATATCAACTTGAAATGTTTGACAAAAGTCTATAAGGGGACAAAACCTATTGATTTTAAAAAATCTGAATAAAATGGGGGTTAAAGGGGGTGTAAATAAAAAACAATAGAAATTAAAAACCAAAAGCAATTTCAACAATGTTTAGTAAAAATCAAGCTCTATAATTCTACAATTAAATAAATAAAAATGGGAAAAAAAGGGGTAGAACAATTGGGGGTTAAGCTATAAAGAATATAATATAGATTGCCATGCATTATTCATCTTCATTTTAGTTGATTAATAAGATACATAAGCAAGCGCACCCTCTCAAATATTTAGTACTGTTCCTTAATGCTACAAAAATAAACACGAGTTGGACTGTTTATTAAACTGTTACGTATACCTACTGTTTTGTGTTTTTTTTATGATAACATTACTTTAGTTCAAAAAAGTTCCCAAATAAACAAACTTGTTATGGTACCCGGCACAATGAACAACAAAATCAGCTGTCAGCCATATACTTAGATTGTAGTTAGTACTACCAGCTCATGGTAAAATTCTAGAGCAGTCCGAAGTTATATCTATCTATCTGAATTAGAGTGTAGTTTAAAGCTTACTTGTACTGAAGCTCAATACTTATTGTACCAATTTCAGATTCTACCCCATTGGGCTTATATTCTTGATCTATTCAAAAAGTACCATTCTCGTTCCTATCAAAGTTTCCGATAAATGGTATAGTATGTCCATATGAGTTTGGAGTCCTCCCCTTCACATTTTCTTCATAAAAAGTCGTTCGATATCCTTAAAAGATTTAGGTGTCTTTCAAGGCCGCATTATCCTGGAAAAGGTCCTATTACGGTAGGGTTGCCAGATTTGCAAAAGGGAAGAGCTGGACAACAGCGACGACAGGGGATCAAGTTCATGCTATAGTTCGGATTCAAAATTTCATCCTTGGTCAGAATGCAATTCCGAAGGGACTTCATGTCTCGCTATAATGTTCGTCATAAATGCCTCTGCTACTGTCGTTGCTTCCTGATTACGAATAGGTCCATAACAATCATCAATTATTTGTTTTCCTCCTCTGTTAAGGGAAGTGTTCAGAGGACATCTATGGCGATTTGTCCTGAAAGGTAGTGTGCCATTTTTCCTTAGCTTTTTCTGCTATTGCCTAAATCACATTTCTTACACCAATCTTCTACATCCCATCAGCTATTGACCCAATAAAATATTTCCTGTACTCGTGCCAGTGTCCTTTAAAAACCAAAATATCCTCTTGAACGGCTGCTTTTAAGCTCCTCCAACACAGTTTTTACATGTGATTTCGGCAGTACCACTTGGCGGACTACATGTACTCCATTGGGGCTCTCCCACTGCCGGTGCAATAGGCCATCGTGAGTTCAGTTCCTTCCGGCTATTTTTTTTTGTGTCCGTAAAATAAAACAAAAATAATTCCAGAGTCAAACGTATCCAAGAATTAAATATTGAGAAATTTTGTCGAACCCTCTAATGTTCAAATGTCCTTTAAAGAGTCCAACAACTATTAGCTCGGTAGTGACATCATTACGTTTCCTTCAAAAGGTAATAGAACTGCATCTAACACTAAAAATTCATTCTTTGTTATTTAGCTATATACACGGCGTTTCTTAAGTCAAGTACCTATCCAATTACTAACCGCGGTCAGGTATTGATATTGTTTTTTTATCCAGAATTATTCCTGAGAATAAATAATCCAGATAAGAAATGTTTTAATTAAATTTTTTCAATTATTTTTGTTATTATTGATCTGCATATTGTTATATTATTGAATGTACCTAATATACCTACCGTTTAGCAAGTACAGGGTATGTTGTATGGAAACTTTGGGTTGTGAATTGTATTAAAAAATCGTTAATTTCTGTTATCCTTTTATTCAGTTTAGTTCAAATAGCATATATATTTCAATGTAAATAATAAACAATGTATATAAATGTGTACATAAAAATTATACTTTATCTTTCAAATTAAACCGAGTTAAAAATAACCAATTATGAATACTTTGAGAGATAATTTATATCATCTGTAAATCGTCATTATGTAACTGCCCCCTATCCATGTAATATGTAAATTTGCCCAATTTTTAATTTATACTAAGTGCCAAGCAATTTGCAGGTTGATGTCTGTGTTAATTCGATAAGTCCTAAATTCGGTTTGGCCGATGACCGGTATGAAATACGTGGTAAAAATAGCATCTAATCATCAAGTGTTATAACTCTAAGGATAACCTCGCAATGGGCGATGACTGGGCTGGCTGAATCAGATCAGTTCGAATTAACGCTCGAAAAATCAACCTGTTTAACGATTTTAATATTGTAATATTCCTAAAAAAGTAGTATTCACTTGTACATAGTAAAAAAACATACTACATAATATTATTTTGATGCACATTTGTAACTATCATTGAAAATTATTCGTTTTTTTTACATTTTCTTAGGAAAATTATGCAAAATCTGGCCCAGTTGTCGTACAAATTATTTGTACAAAAATAAATCTGCTGTATAAAGCCCTTCTGATACATTAATGTAAATTGTTAATACTAGGTGTCCGAATAATAAATACTTCTTTAAATAATAAAATAGTTTTATTTTGTGAGACTTTATTTCGAAAGAATATTAATATCTTAAGAAACTTTTAATATTTCAGGAGATGTTAGTAGGCTTGCTATGGCAATCAAAAATAGTTATTGACAGGATTTTGGCAATATCTTTCTACAAATTATTAAAGGAGACAGCGCATCAGGCAATCTAGTCCCATTGCATCGCGGGCTGTGCTAGTCTTGCATCGAGGTCTCCCGAGATTATTTACAAAAGATAGAAGGAGAACGTGATTCGAGCGGGCAAAGCTTAAGAACACCAAGTAGACATGAATGCTTTATAAAATATAAGAAAGATCTTCACTGTGCGCAGTCGAAACTAGCATGGTCTGTGATGCAACGGGATCGCGATTGCCTAATGCATTTTCTCCGTTACTGTTACCACAGACTAGGAAAGAGGATATACTCCGAATTCCAATATGTAACCGTTTGGCACTAAATGTTAAATGCTGACATATATCTTTCTCTGTCCAAACCTTAAACAGTTGTGACGAAGTCAATAAAATTTCCATAAATTTAATTATAAAAAAGTTTAATTTAACCCTTTAACTGGTATGCTGGGGTCTCGCGTGACCCCAAGCATTTAGAATCGTTAATAATTTTTCACTGTTTGGCAACATCGCCTTGCGCGTTTCAGTAGCTGCGCTCAGTAACTTGCTTTAGTTGATCTCACGCTTTCGAGATATTTACGTTTGGGGTCGCCGCTGACCCCAGTCTACCAGTTACGTGTTTTTTTTTAGTTTGGCAATGGCGAATAAATATTTAACAGAGCAACAATAAGAGGACTTAGCCGCAAACCTAAGTGACACAGAGGACCCTACGGAACCTATTGACAATTTTTGTGGTAAATCCGACGAGGATATAAGTGATGCGCCAACTGAACAAAGTGATCATGACTCTGCGTCTGAAGTCGAATATTCCGAAAGCGAAGATGATAATGGTGTTGCAGGTGAAAGCGAGGCAAGTACAAGTCAAGATACAGCCAGTTATTATTAGAGAAAGAATCGT